CGGACTCCTTTTCCAATTTTGAACCAATCAGTGGTTCCGTGTCCAGTTCTCACTGTTGCTTCTTGACCCGCATATAGGTTTCTCAAGAGACAAATGAGATGGTCTGGTACTCCCGTCTCTTTAAGAACTTGCCATAATTTGTTGTGATCCACACAATCAAAGGCTTTTGCATAGTCAATGAAGCAGAAGTAGATGTTTATAGGTTTTATAGTCTTTTTCAAAAGTCTTTTTGTGTTTCTCCAAACTTCTTCCCACCAGATAAATTGCTTCCATTTGTCCAACTAGGCTAGTCCTAGGATCACAGTCTCAGTTATTTTTGGAGCCACCAGGAAGCGAATAAACTCCCAGTGTGCACCTATTTCTAGGCGTAAGGGCTCAGTTACTTGTGTGATAAGAGTCCCTCCCATCAGGGAGCCATCAGCTTGCTCAAGTCTCACAGGTTTAGAAAGCTGTTTTGCCCATATGCAAAACAGACTAATGGCAAACGGCAGACTAATAATGCAGCAAGTGCATCCAGAATCAATTAGCACATTTAAGTCCATTTGTGCCCCAGACTTAGGGATTATAAGTTTGGCGGCCAGTGAAAAAGGCGGGATTTGTCGACTCACCATTGGGTCATTCTCTCCTTCATTGTCGCTGTCAAAGGAGGGTAGAGCAGGGGCAGGTCCACTCAGAGTCCCGGTGTCCTCCTGTGTGTGGGGGTGTAATCTAGGCAACAGGTTCTTGTGTGACCCAGTTGGATTTTTCTCTCATTAGCTGCTGAGCAAGTTTCCTTCTCGTCGCTGGTTCCGGTCTGCTCTGCAGTCGGGGGTAGGGGACTGGACAGGTTGCCGCTCAATGTCCCTCTTGTCCACACCGAAAACACTTATTTGACAGGTCTGCAGGTGGTCTGGGTCTCTCAGCCATTGCAGTAGTTGGAGGTTTTCGTGGGGGTGATTGCTGTCTGGGTTGCTTTGGCGGCTACTCAGATTCAGGTGGGGGAGTCTTCTTATAGCGGGCGAGCTGAACGTCTAGCTTCACTGCTACCTGGTACCATTCTTGCAGCTGATCAGGTATGGCTTGATAGATGCAGGCCTGAGAGAGGTGATTGTCTAATCTGTCAATGAAGTGATGGATTAGGGATTGTTCAGGCCACTCCTCTATTTGACCTGCTATCTTGCAAAATTCCCGCACGTACTCCAGGGCAGGCCTGCCAGCTTGTTTTATTTTGTGGATCTGTTCTCTTGTTTTAAGACCAATAGATGGGTCCTCAAATCTTTCCCTCGGCCCTAGGAGGAAGAAGTGGGGTCCTCCAATTCAGGGGCTTGCTCATTATATAAATTGTTCAGCCATTCGGATGCTTCTCCCTCTAGGCTGGACGCAATCACATCGACCATGGTCCCTGGGTCCAGGTAGAGATAGGCCCAGCAATTCAAATGAGAATGCATTTGGTTGAGGAAAAAAACATGCTTCTCTGTGTCCCCATCGAAGGTTGCTCTGAAAAGTTGTGCAATTATAGGCTGTTGGGGCCCCCACTATGGCTGTTGCTGCTGGCCCCATCCTGGCTGCAGATTTATGCCCAGGGGTTGCACGTTCAGGGGCTGTGGCCAATGTCCCTGCTGTGATCGGTCTCCCACAAGTGCTGATCTCCTGGCTTCTGCACCACCCCAAGCTGTTGCAAGGCCTCTATTAGTTGTGGCAAGCTCAGAAATTGCTCACCATCCATCTGCTGGGGAACCCAACCTACCCATTGCTGCAGATGCCTCAGACTGGATTTCCCTCTCTCTTCAGGGTTGGGGTCCCTGGCAGGGGAAGACAGGATCTGACAGGCCTTCTGATGTGCAATGGGAGGGGTATAGGCTCCTCTCTGCATGAATTGATTTCTGCTTTTTACCTCTGGGTTTTGAAATCTTTCCAGTGACTCACCCAAAACTTCGTTATCTCTCCATTCTGCTTTTGAAGTCTTTGCTCCCAGCTGGGAGATCTGCCAGAGTTCTTTCTCACCTGGCTGGCTGGCTGCCGCTCCACTCCCTGGGAAAGCTGCTGCTGCTGAGGTGCTGGCCTCAAGCCATCTTTTTCGTTCCATAATGAGATCTTCCCCGAATCTTTGTCAGTCTATCTCCTTTAGATTAGGAATAGGGATCAAGGTCCAGGACCTCTTAATTAGTTTAAAAAATTTGTAGATCTTGGCATGATGTCATGTGTCTGACTAATGAAACACTTCAAATAACTTTCAGGCATGGTTTAACCTAAAAAGCCTTTATTAGTGTAAAGCAGTGTCAGCATGGCATGGAGAATGCCAAGATCTGAATTTCCCTTCCTTTGCACATAACATTCCAGGCATTTCCCCTCCCCTATTTTGGGGTCATGATTCACATCTTCCAATTAACCTGTAGGGCAAAGATTCACTTCCGTTCCCTTCCACGGGTTTTTCTCTCCTCTCTCATTCTCATCTGAATTAACTCTAAAAGTACCAGACAGTTCTGCATATTTTGTCAAAACAAGAATATTCAATATTAGCAGCGTTGACAGTGGTTTTCCATTCATCCCCCTCTTTAATCTGTACTCAGTAGTATGCCTCTCGTAAATCTAATTTAGTTTAGATCTTCCCCTTTGATAAGTGGGCCAGCATGTCTTTCATTAATGGCAGGGGATAGATGTTCTCCACACAAATAGCATTTAACCAATGATAGTCCATGCTAGGCAGAATGACCCATTCTTCTTTTCCTGGAATAGCACCAGGGCAGCCATCCATGATCTGGTTGGCTGGATAAACCCCTACTGCAAGCTGTTATCTATAAAGGACTGGAGCTCATCCTTTGGAGTTATGGAGTATAATTTAGGTTTGGCTCCCAGCAATATCTCTATACAGCAGTCGAGGGGCAGTTAGGGGAGAATGCATCTGAGTCCTTTTCACTGAAAACCTCTTGTAAGTCTCAGTACTCCTTGGGGATTGGGGATCTGCCTTGATTACTTTCCCACCAAGTGGTATGGTGCTGTGCTTGTATGGTTTCCTTTTGGGCTCTCCCTCAGTTGCCTTTTGTTGAGTTTTTAATATCTGCCTCTTCCAATTCATGTAAGGGTTCCGTTTCAGGAGTCATGCCAGATCCAGTCTGAGGAGTCTATTCATACTTGGTGCCACAATAAGTCTGGGAGTTTCCTCATGGGGCCCCATTTTCATCTCTATCGATTCAATGACAAATGTCATGGTGCCTCTCCCCCCATTGCAACATCCAATTGACAGAAAGCCATGGGCACCTTAAGTTCCCTGAGTCATAGACCCAGTTTCTCCACTAAGCCAGGTGTGATGACCCAGGGCACGGCACAGAAGCAACACAGTCTGCTGGCAGTTCAAACTGCCCCTTTATTGCTCCAAATGTTCCCCAAATGCTCCCATGTTCCTGGCAAGTCCCAGAACAAGTAATGATACACACACACACACACACACACACACACACACACACACATTCAGCAGCCTCTGACTGCAAGTAGTTTCAAAAGTTTTTTAGATTAGAACAGCAATTTACTTAAGGCCAAGTAGATAACAAAGAAAGGAACATACATCCAAATCTAACAGGTCTGTGGAAATACAAGCTTCCCTGAGTAGTTTCAGAAGAGAAGCCAAAATTCAAACTGAAGTTTGGAGCACCAAATCAAGGTTGTCAGCCAGTCCAATGGTCAGAGTTTCAGGGTTTACAAGTTTAAATAACAACACAAAACAAGAGATCAGAGAGTTGTTTCCAATGTCAGCAATGGCACACAAACCTCCAATAATTCAGCATTTGTTCCCAACAAATGCCCCTCCCCACAGCATCTCCTTAGTCTCCAGGTGTGCCTTGTGGAGAGGGGTGGGGTGCTCTCTTCCCGAGTAGTCGGGCCTGCCTGCGTTGTTTCCTCCTTCTCTCCACTCTCCATGCTCTAGGATCAGGAGGGGGTGGCCCTTGCTCATTGCCTGAACTCTGTCTCTCATGTTCATCCTGCCCCTGTTCCTCCCTGCCTTCAAGCTGTCCCAATTCTGAAAAGTCCTGGCCTGCCTCGGCCTGCTCCTGCCCATATTTGTCCGAAGCCAATGGTGCCTCCCCCTCTATCTCTGTTGGCTCCAGTTCCAGCTCATTTTCCTCAGCAGATTCAGGCTCCAATGGAGGCATGACACTATCCCCCCTGCAGGCCCCCCTCCCCCAGGACCATGCATACTGGGACGTTGCGGGAACTGGGCATGAAAGTCGTGGACCAGATGTGGGGCATGGACATTGGTGTCATCGACCCAGGTGAAGTTCTCTGGTCCATAACCTTTCCACACCCCAAGGTACTGAAACCAACCTCCATGATGAAGGGGGTCCTGAATTGCACGACAATTTATTCATGGAGCAACTGAGGGGTCAGTTTGAAGATAAATCCTGGATCCTGCTGGCCGATACTTTGTAACTAATAAACATGTTCTTTGAGGAATTTGCAAGCCTCAGAGTTCTGCTTTACTTGTCTCTGTCTGTAGGAACCATGACACATTGTTGAAGTGAAAGATTCACTTTTACTAAATTCAAGTGGTTACATCATAAGCAAAACTGGATCTGAATATTCCCATGCAAAGACTGCATTTTTCCCACTTCCCTGCCCCGTCCCCTTGACCGGTTCATCAGTATCCAATTGTGTTCATTTTAGATGTTTTGGAAATGGCTTTGAGGTTTGGCATCTCTTCGATGCAGTTTCACATTCCACTATCACTGTCTGTCCTTGATCAGCCAGTTCGTTCCAGATTGACACCTCTAGTTCCTGTCACCATGTCATTCCCTCCCTTCCTCCCCATGTCCATTCCTTGCTTCCGCATCCTCCTCCTCCTCCCCTTTATTTTATGGCAGGATACCAGTGAAGCAAGGTGTGCTGAAGATGGCAGACCTGACATGTAGTCTGATTTGTTGTATGTAATAAGTATGAGGCACTTCTGAGAGAGATTTATATGATATTTGGTAATGAGAGGCATCAAAATTTGGGAATTGTTTCCTTTTGCTTCTTTTTCCCTACAGCATGCAGAAGACATGTCACTTAAAATCAAGTATATCAATATAAATTTAAGCAATATAGTTTTACTGAGCAACACTGGGAAAGAGAACCTGTTGAATTTTGGATCTTCAGGAATAAATGAAATAAATTTTGCAGCATACCTGTCAGAGGTAAGGTGTTGACTAAACTGTTTTTCAGCTGACTGGGATGGAGAAAAGGATGAAAAAATGGTTGATTCTCTAATTCCAGACACCTGACAGGGAGGTGTTTTTCACTTTGCTTTACTCTGATAGTAATAAGAACAACTGTTATATAACAGAATAACAGAGTTGGAAGGGATCTTTGAGATCTTCTACTCCAACCTCATACTCAAGCACAAGACCTTATGCCATTCCAGACAAGTGGCTGTCTGGTCTCTTCTTCAAATATATACTGTATCATTAACACACAAAGAACTTTGCCTCATTTTGAAAACAAAAGTGACCATTGCTTATGTATCATGACCAGTCAGACTGCCAAAATCAGGATGGGAGCAAACACACATGTACTTTTTGAAGACCTGTCTTTGTCCCATGAAGGCTTGCCAATCTTTGTTGTACTACCAGACTGATTTTTTGCTACTTCATTCTAACCCTGTTCTCCCTCTACAAAGTCTAATGCTGTATGATTCCCACCCTTCTAGATTAACAAGAGCATCACCAAAATTGATCTGTTGTTATATGCAAATGATTTGGAAGCAAGAGCAGATCAGCTGGTAAGTTTGATTCCTTGCTGTGAAATGGTGACAACATACAACAATCTTCCTATGATCTGAACGAGTGACACTTGTAATTACTGAATGCTGAGGCTGTCTTAAAGCATGCAAAATACAGAGCATCCTCTAACAGTAGTTCTGGGGCTCAGGTCTTGGATTTACAGCAAGATTCAAAAACTTCTTTTGAAAGTCATAGATAATGCTGGGCCCCAAAATAACTAAATCCAGTCTGCAGAACATAATTGTTTAGGAGAAAAGAGACAGGTTCTCATTAGAAAACTTGTTTTGCTTCTTTTAGGATCCCACAAGAATACTTTTAGGATCCCATCTAGAATACTTTTAGGAAGAATGTAGATTTTCATCTTGGACAGGAACATGACAATTTAAAAAAAAATGTTCCTGTGTTAATCAGATGCTGGCTTGAAATGTCATATTTTACATTTATAATGAAACTTCTCAGTAGCAAGCATCTCTGCACTTTTTTATCTGTAGAAAAAATGGTTGGGCTTGCATCACATGGAAGCATGTATTTCCCTTAATAATAGATTATTCTAAGTGGAAGCATGCAGGTAGGGAAAGAAGGAATATTATTTTTCTTTTCTGCTATTACTGCTTTTCTGTTCTTTAATAAAAGCAGAATAGCTTACATATTGGAAACTATACATTTAACTGTTTTCTTGCATTTCCAGCCCAAAGGAGCATTAGAAAACGCTTTGAAAGGACATGCAAATACAATTCGGCTGATACATAACCAGCAAGTTGTTCCACTGGAACAAGGAATGGTAAAAAAGTTATAGTGGCATTGTAATAAACTGTAATATTGATAAACTGGAGCAAGTCCAGAAAAGGGCTGCCAAGATTTATTTATTTGTTTGCTTATTTATTTATGTGTCAAATTTATATAGCTGCTCATCTCACAAAACAAATTACTCTGGGAAACATGCAAAAAGCTACAAACAATTAATTACTAAATATAAAACAATTATTATCATTAAAACATTAACACCTATAAAAACAAAACTAAAACGAGGAAATATTATGTGAAGGGATGTTAATAATAACCATCTCAATACTTCATCAGTGCCCTGGAGTCCTCAGGATAGATGGCAGATGGTGAAAAGACCTGGGTATGTTTAGCTTGTAGACAAGAGGTTTAAGAGGGACATGATGCTTGTCTTCAAATATCAAGGGTAGTTATAGCTTTGACTTATTCTCACTTGTTCAAGAAGGGAAGACTAAAACAAATGGGATGAAACTTCAAGGATGTAGAAATAAAGTAGACTTTAGGAAGAATGTATTGACAGTAAGAGTGTTCAATCAGCAGAATAGGTTATTGCATGGAATGATTTCTTCTCCTTCACTGGAAGTTTTCAAGCAGAGGCTATATCTAGGGATGGTATGTGCATGAACTTGATGATCTCATAGATCTCTTCCAACTCTTATGTTTTTGTGATTCTATTCTGTTTGGGAATCAGCGGACATACAAATTAGGTGGCTGGGTGAATGGATGGGTAGATTCATGATAGATTTTGAACAAACAGCAAATTTTCCTCAAAAATTTAAACATGGACTTAATTCTCATAAAGTGATTTCTAGAATAAAATAGTACTTTTGAACCTGCTAGACCATTTATAGACCTCATTAAACTAGAGAATGCCTTCCTATGTGAACATAGCCTTGGACGATTATGTTTCCATTTTTTTCTGGTGCTTAACTGAGAAAGAGATTATTAGTTTGCTTCCACTATTAAATTAAACTTAATTATATCAGGGTAGAAGTTCTGTAATATTATAGAAGTTAGGTTGTGAGCTGAATAGTCATGAAGATTGCTGTGGCTTTTTGTATCTTGCTTGATTTCAGGACTTTTGGGTTTTTTCTGTGTCTGTGTTTGCTAATTTTTTATTAATGTGGTAATTTGTCTTGAATTTCTTCTTCTCTGAAAAGCCTATTCTGCTTTATTGGTTTTTTAAAAATATATAATTTTTCTTGCTGAATCATTCTTAATCATTCTCAATCTTCTATTTCCAAAAACTGGCTGTCAAGAAATATGTTAGAGCTAGGGTAAGTGTTTTTCCTTTCTTATACTGAAATTAAATAACTAACTTAAGCCTGCTTCAGGCCATTGGCTGTTCGTCTTTATTAAGCGTGATCATAGTTAAGTTTGGTTTTAGTTGAAGCAAAGACTAAAAAAGCATCAAAGTCTTCACAGTAAATTGCCTTTGCTAATGTTGAATGTGTTCGTTCAACAGCTAGAAGTATTTTTAAAAGCATTAAAGCATGTTAAAAATCATGAACACTAGCTACATAGATTTGTAAAGAAAATAATTTTGAGATACTTTTATAATCTTGTAGCAAAGACATGCAAAGACCTATTTTAATGCTGGCCCTTTATAATTGTATAGATGAATATCTAGTAGCTGATTAGTTGATACACAAACTAGGGATGTAAGAGTTAGGAAAATACTAGAATTATGTGTTGCTATAATTGCTGAGCTGCTTGTATAACCTTCAGCCCATGTTAAGATTTGTGCTTTTCTTCTTGAATTGTACAATTTAAGCATATGCACAGCATTCCATCTCAGTCCTTATTCTCCACTGCTGTTAAGAAAAAAAATATGCAGAAAAAAATACTCACTCTCTGCCCTTGAAATAGCTGGGGCAAATGGATGAACGTTTGCAAACCCTTGAGTATAAGAGAAGAATCTTAGGAAGCAGACTAAAATGGAAGCTCTCCCAAGTCTGAAACCTCCACCGTGCATTTTCAAAGGAAATGCTCTTTAAACTGTATTCTGCAGCACTCACTGAGTTAATTAGATCTATTTCCCAAACCACATGGCATTATGAGATAGAAGGGTTTTCAATTGTTTCTCTATTATTTGTAGCCACACTACAGAACAGCATTGGGAAAACGTGCAAACCATAATATGGCTTCATTGTTTGCATAATATGTAATTCTGCCTTTAATAGAAATATTTGGATTTAAATTAGCATGTGACTATATATTAATCAGAGACTTTAAAGCAGTGTTTCTAGCTATCAGTGTTTCTGAAGTATGACTGGGGAATTCTGACAGTTGAAGTCCACACATCTTAAAGTTGCTGAGGTTGAAAAACACTGCTATACTAGGAAATAGTCTGTGTTCATCCACTTAACATAAACTTCTGTTCCTGTTGCAGACAGGTGCAATTTTAGGACCATCCACCAAATAGGCATAGTAAATTTATGCATTGATTATATTTTGAGTATACTAACTAAACCAAACTAGTTGTGGTACTATTGCTACTTGTCTTTATTTTCATAATTCTAACAACTCCCCCACACATACAAATCTTTATTGTATTTACAATGGCATAAGAAGTGTATGGTTCAGGCTATTTGTTGAGTGCAGTATAAGATGATAGAGACAAAATATTTTCTTTATTTTAAACCAGAGCACTTTAAACCAGAGTATTAAGTTACTACAGAAAACTTCATTAGAACTTCCAGTAAGTTTTTCTCTCTTACTTTCTAGAATAAATGAATATTTATTTCTCAGTATTTTGCTTATAATAGGCCAACCTTTGTTAAAAACTAGCAATTGTCTTTAATTAATCTTTAAAATTTTTTAATTAAGTATTAAAGAATAAGCAGAACATTTTAGCATACATTATTTCCATTTAATAGGAAATTAAGTAAAAGAGAAGTGATTTATCTAGTTTTCTTTTTCAATATCCTGCTATGGATTTTAATCTTTTTTCCTTTAATAACTATGGAGATCTAGATTTTTTTTTAAAAAAATCCAGTGTCTGAAAAGACACTGTTTCAAAACCTTAAGTCATCACAGTTGGATGGTAGGCTTCACTTAAGTTTTCTTCTCTGGCTTTTTCAGGAAAAAGTGAGAAGTGTTATCAGTGCCATCGAAGCCACTCAACTTCTTATAAACAATAATGCTTCATTTATAATTGTCCAGGTAAATATCTTTGTCATAGTAACTCTTAAAACAAATCCGTACCTGGAACATAGCTTGGGATTCTTATATGCCTCTTAACAATGGTTTCTTTCTTTCAAGGAAGCTAAGAAATACATGGATACTATCTTAGGTTACTTTGAGCAGTATTCAATGTGGGTGAAGGATTCGGTAAGACCTTTTGGTTATTGGCTTGTTTTCTTATCAGTTATGGAAATCTATATCAAATATGGGAGAGGCTGCCAAGAATCAAAATTTAATACATTTCTGTCTTAAGACAGGTGTGGAGAAGCATGTTCATGGACATTTAAATTTCATTAGAACATCTGATCTATATCTCATCTCTTGTAGATTTCTACACAAGTAGCAACCTGTAAACCGATTGCAAATACGATTGATACAGCTGTCGATATTTTTCTGTGCAGCTATGCAATGGATTCTTTGGTAAGCGGGAAGTGGGGGAGGATGTGGGTGTTAGAGCAGACTTCATTTAAGCCATCTCTCTACCAGAAACTTTATCTGCTCTTTAAATTGGAGAAGCCAATAAGATTGTAAATTCTTTTCTATTATCATTTCACCTGTGGATTTATGTCATTTTCTGTTGAATTCCTCATAAACAAATTTATCTGGAAATGAACTCAAATAACCAGCCTTATTCAAAAATATCTTTATAAGATAAAGGAAGGATATAAAGGAAATAACTTTATCAAGATTAAGGAAGAACTTGTAAATAAGAAAAAAAATGCCTGCACTAATGTGTGTCTTTTAGCTATCTGAAAATACTAAGTCAAGAAAAAATATTTTTTTAGTGCCATTTAAATGTGAAACCAAACTAATTTGCTATATTTTGAGTTGGATGCCATGTAAAATTAGCTGTCCAACTATTTGTAAATATGACTTTTTGTTTTAGGCATCTTCCTAAATCAGAGCTTCACAGCAAAATGATTTTATGATCTTGTAAAACTGAAAAGCGTTGGGTAAAAATGGCAGTTTCTGTGAATTGCAAATAATTCTTGAAAGCTGATGGCATATTTGGAAGCCAGGCCATTTTTTTTGGCATGATTTTGTCCCTGACATCTTCTGCTTAGGATTTTACAATCTGTTCTCTGGTTTCAGAATGGGACCTTCAGGCAGGGACCCTTGACCACGCCTCCTTCCCCTCCCACCTCTGGTTTCAGCCCATTTACCATCAGCGTTCCTCCTTGGCTGGCTCTCCCTGCCCATTCTTCATGGCCAATGGGGCCCTTGCCCTCCGCGGAGGCCAATGGGGCCCTTGACCCCTATCGCCGAGGCATCCTTTGTTCCGGGCCTTTGGCTGCACAGGACAAATAACCACCAGCCAATCGGGTGTCAGGGTCAGTTTGCGATGGGTGATGCGTGATCACAGGGGCAATTGAGGGGGCAGTGTGCAGTGCAAGATTTTTTTTAAAGGTGCTGTGGCTGCTTCGCAAGTTGGGGACCTGGCAGCTCTGTCACCAGGACTGGATGGAGGGAGAATGGCAGGGGGAGTAGCAGCCACTGGAGCTACTGGAGAGGCAGGCAGGCAAGGGTGTGTTGGGGGAGACCAGGAAGGGAGGGATGGTGTCAGGACCTGCTTCAAAACCTCTTCCCATAAAGCAGAACTCTTGGAATAGATTCATCCCAAAAAGAATTTTTATTAGGAGAAGTTGACAGCAGGCATAGAAGGTAGGATCTGAGGCTTTCCCTCTCAAATCAAGAGGTTAAAGGAGCAAAAAGCAAACCCCACCCCAACAGTTCATCTGGTCAGTTTAAACGGGCCAATCTCCAGGTGTTAAATCTACTGTGGGAACGAGGCTGATAAGACCCCGTTCCCAAGGCTGTGAAAACGTTGTTGGATCTTCACACCTTCTCTTCCGCAGTGAGAGATAAGCCAAATGGCAGGAGGCACATTCCTTTCTCACCCCAGGATGGCATCAAGGGGAGAATAGTTCAAAGAGCAAGCAGATAGAGGAAGCAGAGAGGATACATTGTAGCAGCTAAGCGGATGGCAATACACATACAATTCCCCAAAAGTCTCTCCCTCCCCCCAGAAGTGTGGCAGAATCCATAGAAAGGAAAAGAAAAAGAAAAAGCCCCCCCCCCACCAAAGAAATGGATTCTGACAGATGGGCACCTCAAGGGGGTTTCACAAAGACAGCTTGGCTGGCAACTGCAAATGAAAGAGAGGAGGAGGAGCCCCTTCCTCCCTTCCTGGTCCCCCCAACACATTCTTGCCTGTCTGCCCCCCAGTTGCCCCGTCGGCTGCTACTTCTCCCACTACTCCCCCTTCTTCTGGTCCTGGTGACAGAGCTACCAGGCCCCAAAACTTGAGGAGCAGCCGCAGTACTTTTTAAAAAAAATCTTGCATCACACACTTCCCCCTCCACAGAGCCTGCGATCGCCCATTGTACGCTGCCCCTGCCACCCAATTGGCTGACGGCTATTTGTCCCATGCAGCCAAAGGCCTGGGACAAAGGGTGCCTCAGCAAAAGGGTCAGACAAAGGGTGTGAAGCAGAGGGCAAGGGCCCTATTGTCCAGGGAAAACGGGTGGCAGATGGCCAGCTGAGGAGGAATGCTGGAGGTAAATGGGCTGAGGTGGAAGGTGGGAGGAGAAGGCAGCATGGCCAAAGGTCTGTGCCTAAAGATCCTAGCTCCTCTGGTTTGGCTGGTTTGGGCTGCCCTTTTCACAGAGGGATCTCTAGTAAGGCTCTGATTCCACAGGGTAAAGCTTCATCCTGGCTAACCTGGAGGAGCAAAACAAAAAGGAAGCTGAATTCAAGGCTAAAGTAAACTTTCCTGCAGCCATTTTTGGTGGCTTCCATTTCAAGAAAAGACTGAATAGCCTTTTTTCTCATGAGCAGTAAATGCCTTTGCTAAGTTGTAGGACTTAGTAAAGTATACTTGAACAACTGCATCCCTTGAAACATACATTTTCATCCTTCTTAAAATTGAGGTTTGGCTTGATTATTGCTAGAATACTCAAGTTACTCTGGTTTGGTGTTTTTACCTATGTGAAAAAGGATGAATAGTTTTGAGATGAAGCATACAGAAAGAATGAGGAGGAAGCATTCTAAGCAGCTTGGATTAGATATCCATTCAATTGTTCTGTTTCCTTTCTACTAGAATGCTTTCTGGTTCGGATTAGGAGGCTGCTCTATCTTGCTGATCCCTGCCATTATTTGTGCGGTGAAACTAGCCAAATTCTACCGCAGGATGGATACCGAGGACGTGTACGATGAGTAAGTAAGAGTAAAATGAGTCAGAGTAGCAGTTGGCAGGATGGTGTGGCTATAGAAATTGAATGGATATATAAATTATCAGAGGAAGCTGAAGCATTTTTAGCTCATGATGAGCCTTTGTGTGATGGTGTAAAAACTCATTGGGTCATTTTTGCTTGGAATTATTTAAACTTTCCTCCAAAATTGGATGAAAGAATGAGATAGGCTGAGCTATTAGATTTGGATCATGTAAAAAAAATTAGGCTTCTAAGAGCTGCAGGATGCACAGACTTTAAAACACATGCCTGATGTTTTAGAGTTTAAGGGAAAAAGAAAACCCAAGTGTATCAGTACATCTGTACAGAAATATAAGGTGAAAGCATTCTTGAATGCATAAAGGGTTAAAATTAAAGAAAAAAAGAATGACATTGCCATAGGTACAGGTCACTCAACCAAGAAGAAGAAACAGATTAACCTTTTGCTAATCTTTAACTAATGTATGAAGGAAATACATCACAGTAGTAATGAGGGATTTCAACTACCCTGACATGGACTGGGAAACAAACTGTATCAAGTGGGAGATGGAACATGTTCCTTACAAGCCTAGCTGACAAAACTAGAAGGTCAGATATACTGGACTTAATTCTTACTAACAGAGATGAAATGATAGAGGGGGTTGAACTTGCAGGAACTTCGGGGGAAAGTGATCATGTCATATTGGAATTCAGTATAATGTGGATACAAGCAATAGAACAAAATCAAACAAAATCAAAAGTCTTAAACTTTAAAAGAGCTGATTTTAACGAACTCAGAGAGAACTTGGAAAGGATTCCATGGATGAAAATCTTAAAGGGGAAAACAATTCAAGAAGCTTAAGAAACACTGAAAAATGTGATTTAAAAAGCCCATTGAATAATAATACCAGTGAAAAAGAAAAACAAGAAATATATAAGAAACCAGCATGGATGCATAAAGAACTCTCTGATAAACTGAAAGACAAAAAGGATAAGTACAAAAAATGGGAAAAGGGACACATAACTAAGGCAGAATACCAGCGCATAGTCTGAATCTGCAAAGATGGTCAAGAAACCTAAGGCTCAAAATGAACTAAGATTTGCAGTAAATGTCAAAAATAATAATTGTGCCCACGATTTCTGGAGGCAGGCTGTTCCACTGGTTAATTATCCTCACTGTCAGAAAGATTCTCCTTTATTCCAGGTTGCTTCTCTCTTTGATAAGTTTTCAGCCATTGTTTCTTGTCCTGCCTTCTGGTGCTTTGGTGAATAATGTGACCCCCTATTCTTGGTGGCAGACCCTCAAATACTGGAGTACTGCTAGCATGTCGCCCCTATTTCTTCTTTTCTTCAGATTATCCAAACCCAAGTCCTGCAACCATTCTTCATATGGTTTAGTCTCCAGGCCTTTAATCATCTTAGTTGCTCTTCTCTGAATTTTTTCAAACTCTCAACATCTTTTTTGTGATATGGTGACCAAAATTGGCTTCAGTGTTCCAGGTATGGTCTCACTAGGGTTTTATAAAGCAGTAGTAATACTTTGCGTGATCTTGATTCTATGCCTCTGTTTATACAACCCAGGATTGTATTAGCTTTTTTGGCTGCTGCTGCATACTGCTAGCTCATAGTCAAGTGATCGTCCACTAGGTATCCAAGGTCCCTCTCACAGTTACTGTTTTTAAGCCATTCTCGCCCAAACTGTACTTGTACCTTTGATTTTTCCTCCCTAAATGTAAAACTTTGCTTTTCTCCACATGAAACTCATTTTGTTGGATAGGGCCCATTGTTCAAGTTTGTCAAGATCTTTTTGGATCTTGGAGTTTGTTCTCTGGGGTGTTGGCTATTCTTGCCAGTTTGGTGTCATCTGCAAATTTAATGAGTTCCCCTTCAATTCCTTACTCTAAGTCATTGATGAAGATATTGAAGAGTACTGGGCCTAAGACGGAATCTTATGGTACCCCACTGTTTACTTCTCTCCATTTAGATGTAGTGCCACTGAGGACTACTCATTGAGTACAATTTGCCAGCCAGCTACAAATCCATCTGGTGGTGATGTTGTCTATTCCACTTTTTTCTAGCTTACTAAGGAGTAGGTTGTGGTCTATTTTATCAAACACCTTGCTGAAATCTAAGTATACTACGTTTACATCATTTCGCTGGTCTACTAGTTTAGTCACTTTATCAAAGAATGAAATAAGATTGGTTTGGCATGATCTGTTTTTAACAAACCCGTGCTGGTTACTAGTTATAACTTTATTTGCTTCTAGTTGCTTGCAGATCTATTTTTTGATCATCTTTTCTAGAATTTTCCCAGGTATTGATGTTAAATTAGTTGGTCTATAGTTTCTTGGGTCTGTTTTTTCCCTTTCTTGAAGATGGGAACCACATCAGCCCTTTTCCAATCCTGAGGTACTTCCCTGGTTCTCCAGGATTTATGAAAGATGTGGTGCAATAGTTCTGTGATAACATCTGCCAGCTTCTTCAGAACTCTGGCATATAATCTGTCAGGTCCCAGTGATTTATATTCATCAAGGTTGGATAGGTGTTCTCTTACCATTTTCTTGCTTATTTTAATTTTTGTTTCTAGTTTGTCTTTTGCAGTATTTTTTTTGGGTATGTTGTGCTATAATTTCTTTTTGTGTGAAGACTGATGCAGAGAATGAGTTAAGCAGCTCTGCTTTCTTCTTGTTACTTCCTTGCCATCTTCTCTCTTTAGTGGACCTAGAGTTTCCTTGCCTTTTTTCTTGTTGTTAATATGTTGGAAGTAACTTTTTTTTATTATCCTTGATTTCTGTTGCAAGTCTTTATTCATTCTGTGCTTTTGCTTTCCTGACTTTGTCTTTGCATGTTCTGGCTGTCTGCTGATAATCAGCCTTAGTTATGTGTCGTTCTTTCCACTTTTTGTACTTGTCCTTTTTGTCTTTCAGTTAGTTTGACAGATCTTTGTGCAGCCATGCTGGTTTCTTCTTGAGTATCTTGTTTTTCTTTTTCAGTGGTATTGTGCTGGACTCGGCTTTGATGCTTCTTCTTTTTTTTATTAAAAGTTTTACAAATTTATTACATTATAACCCAAACCCCTCCCACCCCTTCCCCCCTCCCCCACTTCCCAGATCTGATTACAGGGTAAAAAATAAACAAACATAATCTAACTAATATAACCCGACTATACTATCAATCAAATCCATAACACACTTTAACTCCTTTTCAAAACAAGTATTAACAAATTAAAAACAAAAATAATAATATAATTAAACCATAATACTAAAAATAATATAAATTCAACCAAACTGAACGATTAAAAATAATCTAAAATCTATTCATAAGCAAGATAATACTTTTCAGTCTCATATTTCTTTTGAATATAATCAATCCATCTTCTCCAAACCAAAATATATTTTTCTTGTGAATGGTCCTTCAAATAGGCAGAGATTTTCACCATTTCTGCTAAATTAGACACTTTAACTATCCATTCTTCCATAGTAGGCAAAGAGTTTTTCTTCCAATATTGCCCCACAAGTAGGCTTTTATGCTTCTTGAGTTGTTTTCCCCTTTAGGATTTTCATCCATGGGATCTTTCCTAGGTTCTCTCTGAGTTAATTAAAGTCAGCTCTTTTGAAGTTTAAGATACTGGTTGGATTGTTTTCTATTGCTAGTGTCTGCATTATATTAAATTCTAGTATGATATGGTTATTACATGACCTGATCTTATATATTTTTTCCCTCCAAAACAGGTACTAGGTCTTATTTTTGGGAGGTGTCTTACCTTAGAACCACCATAGCCAGGCCTTCCACACCCCGACATTTGTCGTGCCACTACTTGACTTCTTCAGCAGCCGCTTTCCACCACTTGCGGCTGGACACCATGTGGTCCATTGTGCCATTGCCTCTACTCATGGCAGGAGGCCGCATGGTGCTTCATGCCACTGCTGCCACTTGTGGCAAGAAGCCGCACAGTGCTTCGGGCCTTTTCTGTTGCTTGCAGCAGGACACTGCATGGCACTTCATGCCATTGCTGCCGCTCATGGCAAGAAGCCGCATGGTATTTTGGGCCATTTCCACTGCTCGCAGCAGGATACTGCATGGTGCTTCACGCCGTTGCTGTGATTAGTAAACAATGTATTGTCTGGTCCACATATTTAACATTAATAATAATTCAACTCTCATTCCTACTCTCTACTTCATTCTTCTAGTCATTTATAAAAATTATCCCATGTTTGAAAGTATTTTGTTTCTTCTTTCCCTTTCATTTTCAATGTAAGCCTGTCCCATTTCTGCACAGTCCAAAATTTTCCTAAATGTGTCTTCTTCTATTGGTGTACTTTTCCAGTACTGTGCAAATGTAATTCTCGCTGCTGTTAGTACATGGAATATTAAATATATACATTTTCATCATAGTTTTCTGTGATTATACAGTACCTAAAACAGTGGTTCTCAACCTGTGGGTCGGGACCCCATTTGGGGTCGAATGACCATTTCACGGGGGTTGCCAAACAGTGCAGTCCGCCATTTTTTCCCCCTTTTCCTTACCAGTGCTACTCCCTTTTATTCTATTGGCTTTTGAAAGCCAATAGAATAGACTCTCTTGAATAGAGTCTAATTCTATTGGCTTTCAAAAGCCAATAGGCATTGTCCAGGCTGTCTCTGCCCTGCTGAGCCCGCCAAAAGTCCCATTCTGCAAACGGTGCTGCACCAGTTGAGTAGTCCTCGACTTACGACCAGTTGAGTAGTCCTCGACTTACGACTGGTTGGGGGTCGCGGCATTAAAAAGGTTGAGAACCACTGACCTAAAAGAAATAATTCCAGCTTAAAACCACATATGTATTTTTGATCAGAATTTTTTTGCTTTAGGGCAGTGGTTCTCAACCTTTTTAATGCCGCGACCCCCCAACCGGTCGTAAACCGAGGACTACTCAACTGGTCGTAAGTCAAGGACTACTCAACTGGTGCAGCACCGTTTGCAGAATGGGACTTTTGGCAGGCTCAGCAGTGCAGAGACAGCCTGGACAATTCCTATTGGCTTTTGAAAGCCAATAGAATTAGACCCTATTCAAGAGAGTCTATTCTATTGGCTTTCAAAAGCCAATAGAATAAAAGGGAGTAGCACAGCTAAGGAAAAGGGGAAAAAAATGGCAAACTGCGTTGTTTGGCGACCCCCGTGAAATGGTCGTTCGACCCCAAATGGGGTCCCGACCCACAGGTTGAGAACCACTGCTTTAGGGCATGTCCACCAAAGGTGGTAGTATGTGCCTGGCTTTTGACTACATTTCCAACAGTTGCTAGACATGTTTTTAAACATCTTTGCTAATCTTGCAGGTGGTAAATGCCATCTATAAAATATTTTATATAAATTTTCTTTATAGGTAGCTTCCCTTGTTATTTTATAATTTCTTTCCCATAAATTTTGCTATTTTTCTAATTCTACATTGTGCCCAAAGTTTTTTGCCCATGTTATCATATTATAATGCAATTTTTAAACAAGGAATTAAACCAGATAGGATCATATTATCCTGGCTAATTTCTGAGCTGATTTCAAGGCTGAAAGTCGACAAATTACATGGTAGCCAGCATTTAAAATCTAAGATACCATTATTCTTTGATGAGCATCTGATCAGGCTTCTTACCACAGTCCAATGGCAATATATCCTAAGTGCTTTATAGAGTGAAAGATTCCAAACTTTTGGAATATATTTTAAGAAAACGTTAACTTTTTTTTAACCTTAAGTATCTTCAGAGAGTCTAATTTCCCCTAGCAACAATAGCTAACCAATTGCAATATCTCTAATATGTGCCCCAAAGTTTGTTCAATGTAAATGTGTTGAGAACCAGCTTTTTAAAGTAAAGCAAATTTGCACAACAATATTTTCTAAGGAACTATGGGAAAACAGAAGACCACTCCATTTCACAATTATCATGGACAATTTTGCAGTGAAGTGCCAATTTCTAAAACTGAGGAGGTCTGTCCAGAATTATTCAAATTCCAAATCTGCTTCTCTCACAAATCACAATATTAAAAATTAATAGACATTGAGAAATCTATAAGTGAAAAGTTGTCTTCTGTAGGGATATTGACATGGAAATCTGTTGAAAGCATGTTAGAAAATCAGTTAGCATTCTTTCAAGCATCCGTTTCCTTTCATCTTTCCATTGTCAAAAATCATACCACAGACATCCGTGCTGAAGGAATTTTGAGGCACATGTTAGAGATAGTGTAAAGATCAGCTCTGGAATACTTTTCCCCTAATCCTTCATACCAGAGCTTTATAACCTTCACTCTCTTCCCCTAGTCACTCCTTATCTTCTTTTCCAATCTGCATGTTCTTGTTCTCAATTCTTAATGGATTATAAAGAGCTTTATATTTTTGTTCATGAAGAAAAGTCGAGGTCTCAATATCCTGGTGCCTTTTCTGATCACAAATGCATGACATCATTGTGGCTGCATTCCCAATCTAGAAATCGGAATAAAACTGGGTAATAAAAGCTCTTTTTAACTGTTCAGTTTCTATATTGTATTGTTCCTGACTTACCATATTTATGTAGTTATCTCCATACAGATTTATATTTTTGTGGATTTCCCCCCCCAGCTCCGTGGAACAGTGGTAACTCAGACTGGAACTATTAACTGTAAGTTGCATGGCTTATTTATCTGTTTACATTTTGATGGCCTTAAAAGGTGGATGCAAATGTTGTGGGACAAGGCTACCTAAATAGTTTTCAACCCTTTATAGTGATGGCCATTTTCACCTGTTTGTGTACTTTCATTTCATGTATGTGTATGTGCACTGGGAAGCCTAGGGCCACCTGCATAAGCTCCAGATGGAAGAAGAAGGGAAAATGTCTTAGAATCTGCCTTCCTGTTGGAGAGGCATTGGGTGATGACAATGACAGTGAGGATGATCTTCTCCAAACTCATCCAGCCCATCTTTAGACCTGCTTTTCCTTACATTCGCTTTGTCTGCCATGTCAGTTTTGGCCCTAGAAATTCAGTTTTGAGAGAAAGCTCATGCTGATGGAAGGACAGACTGATGGACAAGCCTAGGTCTCTTGATATAATTTCTTTTCAATGCTGTGTCATATTAGAAAGATTAACCCCACACACACACAGAGAGGCACCAGTTTTCATGGGGGCCTCTGCATCTTCCCTATTTCTGACCCTAAAAATGGCTGCACCCCAGCCCAGTTATACTCACATGTCCACCATCAGATTTAACCTCTAATCTCTTATAATGGGACAATCCTGAAAGAGCTCTGAATTTTGTCTTCTGACTTTCTTTCCAGCTTCTGGAAATAACAGTATCTCCTCAAGAAAATCACAGCTGAATCAATCCTGTTTGAGGACAGCACAGCAAACTAATTTGACATTAAAAAAGAATTACTGAATCTTAGATCATAAAGTGAAGACAGGTTAATGGCAATCAGGCCACCTGGCCTGGTTTTTTGCTGCCAAGAAACCATTAAAACATATCAGCTATGGGTTTTGTTCTTGTTTCATAAAATCATTTTTTTCTTGTACCATATAAATTAAATAAAACAGGTCTAACTGGATATTGTCCTCATTTTATTTTCCTTTTGCTTCACCTGAACAGCCTGTTCAAAATGAATTAGGTTTTTCTTAAACTATCCAATGATGCTTGTATGCTATATAAAATATGTTTACATGAAAAATGCATTGAATGCAGAGACTTTTGTACCTGAGTTTTTTTACAGCTGTCTTGTAACAGACTTTTAAGCAATGCTTGTTATCTTTCATAAGCAACCTGTTCAAAATGATCAACATTTCTCTGGTGGTGTTAAAAATGAAGAAATGAAAAGCAACTATGGAACTATGAATCATCTCTTGTGCTGTTTTCAAAATATGAATGTAAATGAAGGATACTGTTACTTTTTCTGAATTCTTATTTGAGACAATACTGCTGTTAAGCTGAAATATACATCTATGTGGGGGGGGGGGGCAATGTATGGCTGATTTGTCTGCCTCTGAACATACAGATAGACAAATAAGCAGTGGGGATCTTTTGTAATATGAGAAGAGATATTCCCAAAAAACCTATCTGGAGCTTCAGTAAAGTGATTAGATGCACCAGAAGACAACCACTAACTCACTTAGATAAAATATCTAACTATTGTAAATCACCATGTTCCCAATGTGAATGGGAACATGGTGATATCCTATGCATCATTTCTGAGTCACAGAGGCTATGTTGAGCTTGGATATGTGATATTTAAAGAAGCATCAAAGAATCTCAGAACTGCTTTGCAGTGGCTAACTAACAGTGCCAAAGGTGTGACTCTCATTTTCAGGTGTGTAAAGTAATAAACTATGATACACCATTGTCTTTGAACAATGGAAGGGAGTATGAACCATTGGTCAATTATGAAAAGGGGCCAGAACCACTAGATGACAATTGCATGAAGAACATGAAGAAATATTGTGCTATATGCCAATAATACTGAGAATTTGTTCCTACATGTACAATCATCCATTTTGGGAGATCACCGGATTTTCCAAATTGGAATTGAATTCTAATAAGAATAATTCTAGGTTACTTAAAGATTGGACAATAATCATTTAATTATATGATCTGTGCAGTCAAAGTAAACAATGTAATTCAATACTTCTGCCCAATACTTTGCATCTTAAGAAGACAGAACTCTTGGAATAATTCTTCCAACAGGCATCCTTTATTAAGAGAAAATGGTTGCAGGCATTCTAGACAAGACTTGGGGTCCAAGCTCTCCCATTCAAGCTTTTAAGGGGTTCCCCAGTAGCCCCACCCAATCACCCCCCTCTTCCAGCGACAGTCTCAGGCATTACACTCCCACCCCCTTTTCCTTACTGCCGGCTGGATGGAGACTTCAAAGAAAACTACATGAAAGATAATAGCCCCATTCTTATGGTTAGCTCTTTTGGCAATACACACATCCAGTTCCTTTGAAGTGTACCGAAGGAAGTGAGGGCCATAAAGCCCCTTTGTTCACCCCCTTCCCTTCATCGTATGGCAGAATCCATAGAAGGCAGAAATGGGGTTTTTTATAATTGATAACTAGAGATGAAATATAATTGGATTCTGACATGACCATAGCAAGTTTTTCAGTAGTAGGACAATATTTTCAAGCTAACCAGTATGTAGAATACGTAAGAGGGTTGGGTGTATCTGTTTGTGTGTGTGTGTGTGTGTGTGTGTGTGTGTACACATATACACACATTTTCAATATTGTAGATTTAACGCATTCCTGTTTTTAATCTGACAATGTCTTTAAATAAAGTCTTGTTTGATATTTGTTTTAAATGGAAGAAGTTGGTAAATAAAATTAAAACTTGGTCGTGTATCAGAAGTAGATGGATTCTGCTTAAGCAATTTGTTCCAGTTGTGCTGGTGGGCATTGGCATCCATAATAAACCATGATGACGTGTGAAATCATTGACCATGCTCAATTATGACATGCACCAGAAGAAGTCGGCATGTGTGAAGGAACAGGGTGCTTTCCTAGCTTCATTATTGCTTTCTGTCTCCACTTTAGAAAGTCTGTTGAAAGAAGGTCTTCAGTAGCACACAGGGAGCCTGAGATGAAGAAATGACCAATTACCCAGAGTAATCCAGAGTACTTAGGCAGATTCTGGCCCAAGATTCTGATAGAGAATTTTTCCAAGGACAAATAACAGCACAGCTACCCTTGCTACTAAGCTAAACAGCAACTTAGAATATGGTTTCATATGAAATCTCCAATAATATCTTGAGGAAAGTTGGTAATTGGTAGATTTAATGGAATATGCATACATAACATGTACCCCCATCCCCAGTTCTGGATTGGGATAAGATCAGTATTATAATATTTTCCATTATCCCAACCTGAATATACAGGTGAAACTCAAAAAATTAGAATATCGTGCAAAACTTCATTTATTTCAGTAATGCAACTTAAAAGGTGAACCTAATATATGAGATAGACTCATTACATGCAAAGCAAGATAGTTCAAGCCGTGATGTGTCATAAGTGAGATGATTATGGCTTACAGCTTATGAAAATTCCAAATCCACAATCTCAGAAAATTAGAATATTACATGCAATCAATAAAATAAGGATTGTACATAGAACAATATCGGACCTCTGAAAAGTATAAGCATGCATATGTACTCAGTACTTGGTTTGGGCCCCTTTTGCAGCAATTACTGCCTCAATGCGGCGTGGCATGGAAGCTATTAGCCTGTGGCACTGCTGAGGTGTTATGGAAGACCAGGATACTTCAATAGCGGCCTTCAACTCTTCTGCATTGTTTGGTCTCATGTCTCTCATCTTTCTCTTGGCAATGCTCCATAGATTCTCTATGGGGTTCAGGTCAGGCGAGTTTGATGGCCAATCAAGCACAGTAATCCCACGGTCATTGAACCAGGTTTTGGTGCTTTTGGCAGTGTGTGCCTCTCCATTCTTCCTCCAGACTTTGGGTCCTTGGTTCCCAAATGATATGCAAAAGTTCTGTCATCAGAAAAGAGGACTTTGGACCACTGAGCAACAGACCAGTTCTGTTTTTCTTTAGCCCAGATAAGACCCTTCTGATATTGTTTGTTGTTCAGGAACATCTTGACAAGAGGAATACGACATTTGAAGCCCATGTCCAGGATCCGTCTGTGTGTGGTGGCTCTTGATGCACTGACTCCAGCCTCAGTCCACTCCTTGTGAAAGTCCCCAACACTTTTGAATGGCCTTTTCCTGACAATCCTCTCCAGGCTGCGGTCATCCCTGCTGCTTGTGCACCTTTTTCTTCCACACTTTTCCCTTCCACGTAACTTTCTATTAATGTACTTTGATACAGCACTTTGGGAACATCCAACTTCTTTTGCAATTACCTTTTGAGGCTTTCCCTCCTTACGGAGGATGTCAATGATGGTTTTCTGCACAACTGTCAGGTCAGCAGTCTTTCCCATGATTGTGATTCCTACTGAACCAGACTGAGAGACCATTTAAGGGCTCAGGAACCCTTTGCAGGTGTTAGCTGATTAGAGTGGGACACTTTGAGCCTAGAATATGAACCTTTTCACAATATTCTAATTTTCTGAGATTGTGGATTTGGGGTTTTCATGAGCTGTAAGCCATAATCATCTCACTTATGACACATCACGGCTTGAACTATCTTGCTTTGCATGTAATGAGTATCTCATATATTAGGAACACCTTTTAAGTTGCATTACTGAAATAAATGAACTTTTGCACAATATTCTAATTTTTCAAGTTTCACCTGTTAAGAATAGTCCATTTTATGGAGATGAATTTTCCAAACTTCAAGTGGAGGATTTGCCATTTCTGCAACAGAGATGTGAAGATGTTGTGAGAACTCTGGAAGGAGGGTGAGACAAGGAGATGTTCCCAGGCATCTTCCCAGGTGTTGCATCCTTGGTGAGGCAAAGCAGATGGCCCCAGGCTTTTCCCTTCCTCTCCCTCTCCCATTGCCAGGAAGGTACATCAAAGCAAAGAGAAACAAAGTAAACAAAGCAAAGCTAAGCACCTCACAAGAGAGCTTCAAAGCCCCCCCCCCTCATCAGAATGGCAGCGTCCTGACAGGGACCTGACATCCATTCTTCTTCTGGACTATCACTATGGGAGAGGTATAGAGGCTCCGAGATTCTTGGATGATCCTGATCCTCTTCAGTTTTGCTAGATGTTCTCTGAGGTCATCCAGGTCACTTAAAGGAATCCATCAAGACCTCTCTCAGAATGGCCTATCTTTCTGTAGATTGATTCAATGTTGAGCACACCTAGCACACCCCACATCAAATTCATCCTTCGAGAACAGTTGTTATCACCTCCAAGTTGGACTCTATCCCTCTCCAGCCATTCTGGGGTAAGCTGTGATTCTTCGGGTAGAATCGATCTGTTGAAACCTCATCTTCAGCCCCTTCTGCTGTGGAAAAAGGTATTGAGTTAGGAGCTGGATTTTTTATTCAGTCTCAGGTCTGTCTCTGTATCTCTCTGTAAGAAGTCTTCATTGTGCTATGTTGCTGTAAAGAAGAATATATGGTATTGTAAATATTTTGATATGAATATAAAGAGGTTATTTGAATCAGCTAAATGCAGTCAATTGTGAGAGCTTCTGATTTATTTTTACCAACAGAGAAATTAAAATTCTCTAACAGTATCCAACCACTGGGAGTCCAATGTTAGCTGGATAGGTAGATACCCATTGTATGAGAACCTCTCAGTTCCAATTCCCCAAATCTCCAAATCTCCCAACTTTTGTATGGATAGGTGCTTCAGGTGCCTATCATAGAAACCCTCATGTAAATGCCCTCCACTTTTACTGGCATCACTGGGAAAGGGCCCACCAGTGTTTTGGGGATCTCAATGGTGAGGGACACAGCATCTGGTCTGACATTTTGTACTTGGGCGCTCCTGTGATCCTCAAAGGCTGTTGCTGAATCATCATCACTTTATCCTCAGAAGGCCCTTTGTACATGAGGGGGAAGATTGATAGAATTCCACATGTGGGGCGATGCCCAAGGTTGTATTTTGCCATCCCTTTGGCTGGAGCTAGCTAACATGGCTGGTCA